AAATTTAACTTAAAGCTGAGTGTATAACGACTACCAAATTACAGATGTTTTAGATGCCATTTCCAACCTCCAAAATATTTGGACATTGTTTTAAATACAATGTCCAAATGAAGTGGGAGAAAAAAGGAAACATGGAAAAAATTAGTTATAATTATCTACTTTTCTGAATCAAGACATAGAATGTTTAAAATAGAAAATTTTGGAGCTGTAGGCATTTAAAAAATTCCATCTAAAACTATTTTTTATCTTTGAAAACAGACCTGAGGAAAGAAATTGATCAGTTGTTGCTTTTTTCTTTTTCTTTTCCTTTTTTTTTTTTTTTTTTTTGTGCCTTTTCTGGACTCATTAGTGGTCTTTTTTCATCTGGATTCTTTCCAAATTAAGATTGGCATATGTGAATGAATTTGTAGTTGATTCTTTTTTATTGTTGAATTATATTCTGTCATATACTCTATCCATTTATCTATTGAAGAATGTTGTTAGTATAGATGTTCTTCTATGGATTTTGATGTGATCATGGTTTATTTTGTAAAGTTTATACTGCTGAACTGTATTCTAAAGTGACTGTACTTGTTTTCATTTTTGAAAGCTGAGTTTTAGAATTCTTTGTTGATAATTTTTCTTTCTGTATTTTAAAAATTTTCATCTATAGCACCCTGATTTGAACTGTTTCTGATGTCATCCCTACACTTGTGGGCTTTAAGATTCTCTCTTTTTTTGGAGGGGGCTGTACTGGGCTGTGAACCTTGGGCCTCTCAGATGCTAGGCTAGTGCTCTACTACTAAACTACTTCCCCCTGCCCTTTTTCATTTTGAGATAAGATCTTGCTCTCTTATCTGTGCTGGCCTTAAACTTGGAATCCTTGGAATCTTCCTGAATAATTTGGATTATAGGCATATGCCACCATACCTGGCTGAGATTCTCCTCTTTATTGCTGTTTTTTTAGTAATTTTCCTCTATAGTGTTATGATTGTTCCCCTTGGAGGTTGTGAGTTTGTAGTATAGTTCTAAACAAATATGATTGTTGTTTTTTATCTTTTTCATTCTTCCTTGGATAGTAGTTACACGAATGCTAGACCCTTGAAAAGATGCTATTTGGTACCATTCCAAAGTTCATAGTTCACTTTTCCACAATTCTTTTTTCTTTCTAATTATTTTTCTCATCATTTAATTTTGGATTTTTTTCTACTGCTATATCTTCAAATTCATTAAGCTTTTTTGTATTATTGAATTTCCTGTTAATCCTAGTCAGTGTGTTTTTCTTTATGTTTGAATTTTTGTAAGTCTCAGCCTTTAAAAATATATTTTTAATTTTCAAGTAAACATAAAACTCATAAAGATGTTGCATATGCCCATAACTTTTCCTAAAGGTATTATCTTATATAACTATAGTGCATTATTGAAACTAGTGGTTGATTGGCACAAAATAATCAGGCTTTAGATCTGTCTCAGATTTTACCAGTTTTTGTATGTACCTACGGTTTTTAATGTATTTCTCTTTCATATTAGGCTATTTTATCACATGTCACATAACACCATCAAAACCAAGATACAGAACTCTACTATTATCATCAAGAAATTCCCTTGTGTTGCCAATTGGGGTCTTTTAAGTGTTTGGAATATATTTTTAATACCTTGTTTACATTTTTTTGTCTACTAATTCTATTATCTGTGATGATTTATTTCCTTTTATTGTATTTCACTTTGTTAAAGGTTATATTTCCTCATTTTGATTGAGTTCCACATACTTAATTTTACATTCTTTTATGCTAAAGTGTGTTGAATTATTTTCTGTTTAATTGGGCTTTGTTTTGAGGTATAGGCATGTTACTTAGAATCAGTATGATCTTTTTAGAGGTTGGTTTTAAGCTTTGTTAGTGCCAGTCCAGAGCATCTTTTGGTCTAAAGCTTATTTGATTTTATTGCTGAAGCATTCACTACTTTCTGAACTGTACTTGGTACCCCATGTTAATAAGTCCTTCTACTCTGGTTGATGCTAACATGAACTCAGAATTGTTTTGACTATTCCTCTTCAGAGGCCTTTTCTCTAGACTCAATAGTTTTTTCACACACACGCTTAAATCATTACTCTGCTTAAACCTTAAGGTAGAAATAAGACTTCCTTTTGTCCATTTGCTCTACAGATTCTAGCTGCTTTGGTGTCTCCCAAACTGTAAATATTTTTTAGACCATTGATTTAATTCTGTGTGAACATTAGGTTCTGACTGAGTTCCACTTTCCCCTTTTAGTAGTCTCAAAACTAGAGGCAATGAACTGGCAGCAGATACTAGCTCACTTTATGTTCTTTTTCTTGATGCTCTTTGTCTTAAGATGACTGTTGTTTAAATGTCTTAAAAAATTGTTTCTTGTGTTTTTGTGTAGTTTTCTGGTTATTTAAGTTAGAGTAAATGTATTTGTTTACTGTCATGTAAGACATTTGTGCCTTATAGAAAATTTATTTGTAGTTTGGTGAATCTGTAGTTGTCCTTTCTGACTTTTTTAATATTTGTAGGGCTTTGGAGGAAAGTAGTGTATAAATCTTAATATATAGCACATATTCTTTCTCATGCTTGTTGCTTTTTACATATTCTCTTTTTAACATAATGCTCACGTCCTCTTGCATTTATTGTGCATCATCACATTCCAAATATGAAGGTTATGAACACAGTGTATTACCAAACATTTTTATTTAATACAATATACTGAAGATAGTGGTAACAAATGTTAGTTTTTTACGTTACTTGGAAAAAGTAAATGTATACTCTTTTGTATACTAAAAGGAGATCATGATGTTTAGTTTAATATAGATTCCTATATTGGTAAGCATATATGTTGGCTATGGATTAAAACCCTAGGCCATGAAATATTTGAAATTATCCCAAAAGGAGGAAGCAAACAGTGAACAAGGTTTTCCTTCATACTGAAATCTGTGGTTGGGGCTGGGGTTGTGACTCAATGGTAGAGAGCTTACCTAGCATGCTTGAGGCACTGGGTTCAATCCCCAGGACCACATAAAAAACAAAAACAAACAAACAAAAACAAATAAAATAAAGGTATTGTGTCCATCTATAACTAAAAAAAATTTAAAAATTAAAAAAATCTGTTCTCCCAATTGAAGCTTTTTCTTTTATCTGGTAAGTTTACAGATTAAATATTAATTTTATTGTTAATAGATATTTAGCATCAAAGGATTCAATTCTAATATTTTCTGTACAATTAGGAGGTTGTATTGTTAAAGGTGTGTATGGCATTAAGATTGTTAAAATTATTTTGCTTGAGTTTTGATTTTAGATTTTAGATTTTCAAATTTACTAATATTCTGAAATTATGATATTAAAATTATTTAAAAAGGAACAATGTTTAGATGATAATGCTTTTCTCTTTTTGAAACAACTTAAGTTGGAGCCAAATGTCTGTGTCACTTAACAATTCTTGGACATACAGTTTGTTTGGTAGTTTTTTTCCTTGCTAAATGATAAAGGATTTGTGTTTTTATTGCAAATATACTTAGGGTTGAGAAACCTCTCCACCTTACTATATTTGAGAGATAGACTCAATTTTTAAGGCACATATGAATTTAGTAACAAATAATTAACAGTATTGCCACATAGTAAGGTATCCTCAAATATCTCATCCTAATGTATGTAATGTAAGATGGGAAAAAAAATGCGTAAAAATACAGCTTCCACTGACTTTATAATCAAACATATAAAATAGGAGCCAGAAGATAGGTAATCATCACCTGAATTCTTTTAAATATTGAATCTAATAATGTTAGTTTTTTAATGATTTGTTTTCCTTAAAAACAGTTATTCCCTTCTTAGCAGATTGGTTTTTAGAGGTAATTGTGTGTGTGTGTGTGTGTGTGTGTGTGTGTGTGTGTGTGTGTGTATGTGTGTGTGTGTATGTGTGTGTGTATATGTGTCTCTCTGTTGGTTTTACTAATACTGGTTCATTCTCCTTTTGAATTATAAATTAAGTTTATTTTATTATCCCCTTCTAAAGTGTATTTTATATGATAATAAATAATTCTTCTAAATTTGAATATAAATATTAATCATTAGCAACATTATTGGTTCATTTGGTATAAACACTACTTAGGGTAATTGTTTTACTTAAATTTAGTTGTAAGACATTTGTCTTGATAATGTGTCTATATAAATTTTTTTGTAGACACCATCTTCGAATCTTTCAATGTTTGATTTTCAATATACATTTTTGTGGTAGCATTTCTGATGACTACCATCTCTGCTTCACTGATTTTTGTACCTGATTTGCACAGTGCCTAGTTACTTTGGATTTATTTATCTCTGTCTAGGTTAAGAAATGAGTCCCATTATTGTTTTTGCCAATGTGAAAAAAGTGAATTCTGTTGGAGTATGCATGAAATAGGAATACTGAAGGACCAAGGCATCATAAAATTTGGGATTTGTTGTTTTTCAGTGGAGTAAAATTTAACAGAATATTGAATTAGGTTTGCATCTATCAATCATCCTAAAATATATAATGTATTCCCATTTTATGGCATAGGAATAAGCCTCATGAGTGGCATGAATCAATAGCTATATAACTTATATTTCTGTATTACCTAAATTACGTAAGCTTTGAGGGAGAATATATATTTACGTGGCTGAATCTAAATTGAATATTTCTAAGAGTAACCAGAGAATACTTAAAAGAAAAAATACATTAGGTGAGGAGTGAGCTTTTTTTACCCACTTAATTTTTTATTTACTTTTAAGTTTTTTTTTGATAATGATATTTGGGGACACTTATAATTAAAGAAAGTAGGAGTAGCAGGAGAGAGTTTTTCATATTTAATAATTTCTGTCTCAAAGTATGTATGCCAATTTTAATGCTAAATGGTTAAGAGGAAAGATAGAGTATAAGATAATGACTTTATTTTCTTATGTTTTTGTGTATCATATTGGATAGTTTTGCTACTGTTCATATATTTTCATGTTAGTAATTTTGATGGCTTTTGGATAATTCCACTCTAGAGGGAGAACTGGTGGGCGGTCCTTCCTGTGACACGACCCTTGAGTGACAGTTCTATTTGATTGCCTCCAGTACTGTGAGGAAAGGACAAGACTCTATGGTGAGGACTGATGGACATACATTATCTGAGAAAAGAAACTACCAGGTAAGACCATTCTTTCTTTTCCATTTTTTAAAAAATATTTGTCATATAGCATTAAACTGTTTTGGTGTGTTATATTTAATTGGAACTAATAAATACCAAGGAATATACCTTAATTTGGAAAATTTGAATTACGATTTTAAAGGTATGTATTGGTTTTGACAGTTGAAATAGTTGGGAACATTTTTCTAAATAAAGCATGTTCATAATGTACTTTTTTTTAGTGTCAAATTTTTCTGATATTTTAAAACAGATTATCTGATACATAATTTATGACTTTGTAGCTGGACTCAGGTAATAATTAATGAAACAAAGTGTTGATTGCCTTTACACATATCACTGAGAGACTAAAACCTAAGCCCTAGTTATATTTTGCAAAATAGACTCGTAAAAAATACAGACAGAATTTAATAGAATGTGAAAGAAACAGAAATGAGACACCTAGGGTATTTAAAGATCCAAATATTATTAAATTTGTAGTAGTTGGCTGTTTTTACAAAGCTAGAGTCTTGTTTCTCGTTTAATAGGTTGGTTAATAATATCCATCCCTTATATAGAATGTAGGGATGCCAAAAAGATAGTTGAAATGTAACATTCCTATTTCTTTTTGAACTTTTAAAAAAGGGTGAATATTAGTACTGGGATGTTGCTCAGTGGTAGAGCACTTGCCTAGCATGAGTCAAGCCCTGGGTTCAATCCCCAGCACTGTAAAGAATAAAGAAGGTGAATTTTAAAGATAATGTTATTAAACAGTGATTTTTGTAAACCAAACATTTGACTTTAGTTTTTTAAAGGAAAGTTGCTTTATTCATTTGATAGTGACTCTTTATTAAATCACGTAATAATCTAGAATAGAAAATAGTTTAAAGCTCAAATAGGAGAAATACATTTCTAAGGCTTTCTGCACAGACATGTGTCAGCCTTTTTCTCTCACCCCACTAGTTTCATTCCCTCTAGATTGTCAAAGGTAACTAGTGTGATAACAGCAGCTTTGGTTCATTACTCATTTATCTACCAGTCAGTTGTTTTAGTGCAGTTAATCCTTTTTTCCCTGAAATTGGGAAAGTGAACAGTGGAGAAAAATGAAACTTTTTGAGTTTTTCACAGTGTGTATTAGCAAAGAGCCTTTGATTATGAGTTTTGGTTTGGGCACTATCCCTGATAAAAGATAAGTTCATATTTAATCTTTTTAGAGTTTGGTCTAACTTAATTTGTGAAGTTTCTTGCCAGATCTTTATGATTTTAATAAGCCAGAGTAAGCTGGAGCTATGCTGAATTATTTCTTCCTGTAACCATTTTTTCTGATTTGTTCTATAGACTTGACCAATATAGACTTTACTGATTATTTGTACTTGGTGTATCTCTTTCTGCCTTATAACCACTTCCAATAAGCTTGGCTCATAGATTTCGATTGATCATATTTCTTGGGCCTTTACATCTTTTGGTAGGTTCTGCTAAATTATTTTAAGAATATTGAAATTGTAGGTTATGTGGCATTTCAGTGCTCACTATTCAGTTTGTAAAGAGTGAGTAGAGAACATTTGTTGTGATTGTACAGTAATTGTACAGTTAATTTGCCTCATGGAACCATATTCACATAGAATTCCAAAATTTCTACTTAAGAAAGGAGTAAAATGGAATTGTGCTTTACATGTGAAGAGATTTGCTTATTCTTAGCTCATGCTGCACTAAAAATATCCTGTTATTCCAGTCACCTTATTCACGAATAATAATAGGTTTTTGAGCTTACCTGGAAAATACAGTCTTAGTTAGGGTTTTGCTGGCTAATTTTTTTTTCCTTTTTTCTTTTGTTGTTATATATTGATGCTTAACACCTGTTGAAATATCCTTGGAAACAGTTGTTTACGTTGGCATTATAAAATTGTTTTATTTTTAAAGCTTCCTCTGAAAAAAACGTGTATAGAAATATGGTTTCCTGTCTAGTTTAAGAGCATATGGGAGAGTCAAAGGAATATTAAGTAAATTACTAAAATAACACTTATTTTCATGCTGGTAACTTATTTTGTATATTCTGAGATGAAACTCATTTAGGTTTTTAAAATTTTCTGTTAAAGAAATTTTATTATTTTTCATGGGTAAAATTGAATTTCTTTATCCACATTTATTACTATTTTAATTTCTCTTTGAGGGCTTTTGCTTTTGGAAGGTTCTTGATTTAAGCATCCTGATAATATACTAGTATTCCACAGTTTAATAAGCATAGTATTTCTCCAGTTTTCATTTCTTATGGACTTGATTAAAGCCTTAGGAATTTAGTTTAGAAAGGTGCATTTTTTTAGCTATGTGCTAAAATTGATTTTCAGGGGCTGGGATTGTGGCTCAGCGGTAGAGCACTTGCCTAGCACATGCAAGGCCCTGGGTTCGATCCTCAGCACCACATAAAAATAAGTAAACAAAATTAAAGTATTGTATACAACTATAACTAAAAGATAAATTTTTTTTTAAAAAAGTGATTTTCAGATTGGCCTTGGTTAAATCATTGATTTTTATGGTGGTATCTACTTTGTATAGCTTCTTTTTCATTATAAACATAAGCCCAATTTGGCATTCAGAGTTTAAATACAGTAAAGTTTATTTACTCATATAGATTTGTGTATTAGTCCAGGTCAGACAATTTATTTAAATGGTTCACAGTTCATTGATTTTGGAAGAATTATCAAACTTTCTTCGTGGAAATGTAATGTCAGTTTTTTTATAAGAATTTTCTTACTTTCCTCTAATTTACACTTATTTTACCTGAGATAGGAGCGTACACAAATTTACATCATCTTAATTACCAATTTACCAATGACTTTTCCTTTTTTATTGAAGCTTCTAAGCATTACACATAGTCTTTCTACATTCTGATCTACCATATGGTTTTTACCTTTCCAGTGCCTCTTCTCTTAGTCCTTATAGTAGACTTTCCTATTTAGTAACACAAAGATACTTTTAGTGTCCTGCTGTCACTTTATACTTTCAAGGCTTTACTTATATTGGCTCCTTTTATTTAAAATGCATCTGTTACCTTTCTTCACAAGTCAAGAATTGTTTTGAATTTTTCTAGAAGCTCTGCTACCATTGGTGTAGTGCTTATGCGTTCTTTCATAGATTTTCTGCATACTTGTAGTTTCCTGTTTACCATAATACATTGTACTCACCTATCTTACCATAATACATTGTACTCACCTATCTGTCTGTTTGTTCTTGTTTTCCTGTAGACCTGTACTTTCTAATACTGTGGGCATTAGTCACAAATGTCTGCTTAAATTTAAGTTCGTAAATTAAATATTAAAATCGTATTTTTGTCAGTCATATAAGCCTCATTTCAAATGTTCAAAAGCTATATGCTGCTAATGGCTACCATATTTGAAGAGTGCAAATTAGAATGTTTCTATAACTGCAGAAAATTTCATTAGACAATGCTTCAGTTTCAAACTTCTTGAATACTAAAACTGTACCTATTTAGTATTGCCAGTACCTAGCATGGTACCTACTATAAAGAAAAGGGTTCAGTGCCTATTAAATAAAAACAGTGAAACAATGGAAATGAAGAAGTAGGGAAATATGGTAGGTAGCCTACTACTGATATTTCCAAGATTTTTAGATGTTACTCTGAATGGAACTTTTCAATATGAGCTAATTTCCTCTTTTAATTTTTAAAATCACCTAAGAAATAGATACTCATTGCAAAAATGTTGACAAAAATATTAAAATATAGGGCTGGGGTTGTGGCTCATTGGTAGAGTGCTTGCCTGGCACACATGAGGCACTAGGTTTGATCCTCAGCACCACATAAAAATAAAGAAAGAAAATAAAAGTATTGTGTCCATCTACAACTAAAACATATACTTAATTAAAAAGTTAAAATATGTGGAAATAAATCTAATTTAAAAAGAATTGTGATAAAAAATACAATGTGGAAGTTAACCTTCACAACTTTACTCTTTACAGTTTGGAGTATATATGATCTGATCCTTGCTAGTAAATATTTAAATGAGATGTGATTTGTTACCTTTGCTTTTAACAAATATGTATTTTGCAGCTTGTTCATTATACTTACAGATATATTTCCATGCCCCATTTCTTTCCTTGCCTTCTTGTCTGGAAGTAGTCATTAGTTTGAATTTTGTGTTCTATTATTCTTAATTTTATATTATTAGATATGTCTGTTTCCATGTCTACAGGTGCATCCTCCTTTATGTGTGATTATTTTTTTGGGAAGTGGTGCCCTATATTCCATTGTTTTGAATAGGAAAAATAATAATGATTTTCCAGCCACACAAAATCCTGAACAGTTTCCCTGATATCATTTTAACACTCAACGTATATGACAGTTCACCAAGGATTTCTGCATAATATAAAGCATTTAAGACACAAGTTACCTAATTATTTAACACATACAAATGTGTAGTAGAATGTTTCTATTTAGTATGTGGGAGTGTTATGTTATCTCATATACATTAACATTTGTTGTCTTATACCACAAAAAATGGAAGTGTAGCCAGGTGTGGTGAATACTCTCCTATGTATTCCTGGCCTGTAATCCCAGGGAATCAGAAGACCGAGGCAGAAGAATTACAAACTCAAGGCCAGTGTCAGGAATTTAGCGAGAACTTTTAGCTCAGTAATAGAGCACCCCTGGATTCAATCCCTAGTACCCCCATCCCCCCAAAAAGTAAGTAAGTGTAAATAAACAATGAACTATTCCTTTTCATTTTTTGTAAGTTACTTATGGGAAGGTTTTGTCTCTCAGCAGTTCAGGATGCATGTTATAACTGATACTGTCTTAGAATCATAGTTTTGTGGCATAGTTAACATGAATTTTCTATGGATACCTTCTAGTATGAGTAAAAACATCAAAGCTTTTTAGAATGTGTGCATAGTATATTAAAGATAACTAATTTTAATAAAATAAACAAGGGGAATATTTTATAAATGAATACTTAAAGGTTGAGGGTTTGTTAGGGTAAATCTGGTACCCAGAGAAGAAAGATGGAGGT